TAGGTTGTTGTAAGTATAGGTATATGTATTACAATAAGCAAAATAATGTACAGCAGACGATACGAACTGTATCTTAATTCTATCACCGAAAATAGGTCATAACTTCATCAGTCGCAATGAGGAAGCAGAATTTCATAAGTTCGGAACGTTTTCAAAACGACGTTTACGATCGCCTTGAGACTTATTTGCACGACAACCGAGTGAAAAATGCTAATGAATTCAACGAATTAAATTAGCAATTATTACATGCCAGAGATACCGACCACTTGATTAATACCGGTTTCTTTTGATATAAAATATAATGCGACAAGTGGCATTACGATTGACAGACATTAAATAACACAAAGTTGATCGCATGATGCATTTCAATAAAACAATAACCGTAATTAATCATTCGAAATCACAAATACGAGAGAAATTGCATTTATACACGCTAGGCTAAATAATGTTTATCGTTTAAAAATGCAATTAGTAATCAATTTTAGTTTTAGATATATTATTATATATTAATTCCGTTTTAAATATTTATTAGTTTTAAACACAAGGTTAAATATCATTCTTTTAAAAGATTAATAAAAATTTCAAATTATATATCTATATGTTTGCAGAATTCTACGTAAAACGACTTTTCGCATTAGACTTGTCGCGTGGTTATAATTAATTTAATATATATGTAATATTATTAAGGATATATCTGAGATATGTTCTTAATATATAAGATTATTATATATTTAGGATATATTAAGGATATATCATTTTTATAAAAATAATAACGTTAATGTTTATACTTTAAACAAATTATATAAATTTGAAAGAATACATAGTTGAAAGTTATTTGATAAATCATCAATGACTTAATTCACAGTTTTTAATAGACATTATGTTTAATTACTTTAATTATAAATATGTTATTAACCATCAATATTAAAATAACCTTTTGAAAACTAAAAGTCTTATCAACATATTTAATTTTGATTACAATAAAAGCAATTAATAATAATAATATTAATAATACTCTATTCTCCAGTAGATCATATTATACATCGTAATTATAATATAACAAAATATATAAAAATAATCCTTTTTGCAAATTATATTACAAATTTTTCAAAATTTTGACATGATGGAGCAATTTGGAAAAACGCATTCACATTCCTATTTAACTATTCCTATTAAACAAAAAACTATAAAAAGTGACTAGTCTTATTCGAAAAAAATCATTTTTTGTCAAACAGTATTATGTAGGACGCTCAAATCAATTGCTAGAATAACAAAACTGTTTGCAGCATTGCTCGTCATGATCGAGTTTCCTACATAATTATTTTGATGACTCAACAAAATATATTATTTTCAGTATCTACCTAAAGATGCTTCAACAAAATCTTCTTTCCGTGTATTCGTTTAAATAAAAGCAATCAACATTAATCCAATAATCATAAATTTGCATCCTTACCTTATAACTTTCCGTCTGTTATTGGGATGCAATTTGAACGCCATCTCCGGATCGATCTTCATCAGTTTTTGGTGTAGCTCTTCGTTGCTGCCATCGTATATTCTCGCGTCGAATTTCAACTTCTTCGGCGCCGTCTCATCATCATCGTCATCGCTGTCATTCAGTCGATCTTGTACATTGTATCGATCGTCCGATCTATTTTCGATCGACGTGCTTGAATTGGTCGCGCTTGAATTGACTTGCATCGATGGTTCTTTCGGATCAGTTATAAGAATCTCCCATAGTAGTGATTCTATGTAATAGTTCGTACCACCGACGACGATCGGTAGTTTCCTCCTGGCTAGCAGGTTGTCTATCTGTATATCGATAGAAAAGGAAACAGTTGGAGTAGAGTGTAGATAAAAGTAGGACCGAGCGATCTGCGCGGGAGACCGTGGCTAATGATCGTATCAAGGTCTTCGCGAGGATCAGGGGCGTTCCAATTGGCTTCGTTCAAGATCTTTATTTTACGAAGTCGATTTCGCGAACCGAGCTGTGAACTCGTCGCTTATAATTTCACCGAGAGAGTCGGTGTAATTATAAATCTTAACACAACAATAAGTCGTTTCGTACTGAAAAAGAGAAACGAAAGAAAAAAGATATCACTTCCGACATCTGTTATTCATTAAGCATTCTTTGTACGTTTTTTCGTTAATACGTTCTGAGAAGAATGACTTGCTTACCTAATTATTTTATCTACATGATAGCGGTTCTTCGATTTCTTTTAACATTCTCTTAATTTTCAGAGATATTATAATTAACTTATTATAAATCAATTCCTTGCTTAGATCCAAGACGCAATACAAAAATAAATTATTAAGTATCGCATTATTCATGCATGTAACTTGTAATCATTATTATCGCAAATTATGAAGTTTTCTGCTAGTTTGTAAGAAAATAATAATTGAACGCTCTTCATTGAACATCATCCTTATTGCCACGTAATTATAGCTGTCGCGTTAAATCGTCAGGCATCCGTTAATGCGGAAAAAGAGAACGAGATGTGATGATTACGATCGGCAGGGCCATGTTCCTGAAGTCGATTACGGAGAAGTTGGTCAGCGGGTCCACGATGTCCAGCATGTGATGCGGCGCCGCCTTTCTTTCCACTGGAGTTACCTTCGCGGTAACGATGTCCAGGCCTTTGTATACCTGCGGGCCAAGAGAGAATCATCGTAATTAAAAGTGAAATAACGAGGGACCGACGAGACACAGTCAGTGAAAGAAATAAGTAACGGTTGATAAATAATGAATGAATAGAAATAATGCGATATCGAATGATTCCGTTAATTGCATCGCTTGTGTGATTTTGCGACTAAGAATAAATGCAACGAATAATGTAAACGGCAGCAAAATCGTGCTTGACTCAAAATAAAAGTTGAAAAAAGATATCGAGTCAACCATCTACGAAAAATTATTGCCATCGATGTAACGAAAATTAACAAATTTACGTAATTTCTTATCAGCGCAATTTATAATCTTATCGAATTTTACTTGAATATCTCATGTCATAAAAACATCGCTCGGGAATTCTTAAAGAATTGCCAAGAATTTTGTCAAAATTACTTTTCTGTAAGCTGTATAATCACGTATTTATAGCTCTTTTTCAATGTGTATTAAATTATTCAAACTTTTGTACATATATAATGAATGATAATATTGAACGCAGTTATTTAAAAGCTATTATTAGCAATAAAGACATAAACAGATTTTTTTCACATAAAACACCTGTTACATCATTTCAGTAAACTAATATATTAAGATGCACAGTATATTATAAAGATAATAAAATTATATCAGAAATTATCTCAATAATCCGAATTTAAAAACCACTGTTAATATTTCTTCATTCCTTTTTCAAATTTGCATTTACAAGATGAGTCAGGCAGTGCTGTTAAATAAAGAGCAGATACATGTAAGTTCGAGGTCATCGGGAATGAATGAGAATGATGGTCCCACATAAAGGAAAACATTATATAGTGGCTTTCTGGCAATACTGTGAGAGAAATACAAAGCGTATAAAAACTATGTTTTTAACGAGGTCTGCTTGAAATAACGATTATAAACACGATTTGGTGGCATGCAAAAATAGAAGATCTAAATACAATAAATCCTTGCATACTCCGATAACGATAATAATTTTTTTTATAATGTTTGCGGCAACTCTAGTATTATACGCAATAAATTATTCTCATATTACGCAGTACGTTTTTTTAAAAGAGGATTTCCTAAAAACGATTTAAAAGCAACTTTCAAATGCAAAATTTGGCATTCTATCCATTTTTTTTTTTTTCATAACGAGGTATGTATTCCTAAATATAATTTTTGACATAATAAATTCCGTATAATTTGAAACTTGTTTTTTGTTATCTAATTATTTAATGTAATACCTTTCTCTTTGTCCAATATGATTCTTAAGATTTGCTTTTTCTGCTCGTCAATGATTTTGAATTAACACACTATGTTTTAGGTAGTTCCTTAAAATGATATATTTCAGTACCTTTCCATTTATATAGCTGCATCGAAAATTTTATAACGAATTTATTATATCAAACAGATGATATTTCCTTCTTGAACGTGCTAAATAAAATTTATATCGCGTCACGCAGTTGAAACACACTTGAACCGTGTAACCAACAAAGATTGAGACAAGTGTCTAACCTTCGTTCCACTTCGCTCGCCAGCATGAATGAGCTCCGATCAGAAACCTCGTACATCGTTTCTATAGTGATGAAACGTCGAAGAGAAGTATAGCGAAGTATCAGCAATGTCCTCAGCGATGGTGACCGACTACCGACTGAACAGCTGCGACTCGAATCCATTAATCCATTCCTACTAATAAAGATTAACTTTAATCTCGCTTTAATTCACTCTTCATCCTTTTTTCATTCTTAGAATTGAAGAAAAATAAAACGTAAATTAAAATCAAGATTAAAGTTAATCTCCATTAAGATAGAAACGGATATAAGTCTCATCAAAAGTGTCAAACATAAAATTAGAAGATTTTAGAGATACTAGTATGTACCATCTATTATTATCAATTAACGAGTCAACGTTATTATTATTATTAATTAACGAGTTCAATCATGCATAATTAAAATAATAATCCACAGGAGTCAATAATAATTGCGCTTTGCTTTATGTAAATAAAGGCAAAAATAAAAATAATAGAAAAAATAGAGAAAATAGAAAAAATAAAATTTAAAAAAAATGAAAAAATAAAAGTAAATAAAATTATAGAATGGAAGAAAAAAATAGAAATATATCTCCGATGTTCTAATTTTAATATTAGGTTATGACTATCTTTATTAATAAAATTGCAGAGAAATCTTTGTAACATAACATTTTTGACATAGCAAAAACAAAAGTAAATTAATAATATTCCAAAGGCGTCCACATCGGTTTCATCATTTGTCAATATAATTAATAATCAGTTAATAAGATTTCTTTTACCGACATTCTCCCATTTTTCTGCAAAAAAAATGTACTCGTGCTTTGGCACTGATATATATCCGCTTTCTATAATTCAAGAAGAATCCAGTATAAAATACGTGCTTAGAGGCTCAATAGTGCCTTCAATCACTTTTCTACTTCGTTAATCGGTTTAGCAAACGAAGTTCTACCAGTACTTCGTGATTCGCTTACACAATAGAGAAGATATAGAAGTAAAGCGAAGGAACAGCTGTAGAATTCGTGTAACGTTCGAAATAGAAACGAAGTCAGACACGTGTTAACAAGTATATCTCGTAACCAAGCCTGGCAACCAAGATTCCATTGGATCCTTTAACTATTTAACGCGCTAAACGGTGTTTTTTTCCATCCATTGAAACTATTGACTGGATCAATTATATCGGCTCTTAGCGTTTAGAAATCTGTACAATTATCGTCCAATTCCATCAGTCGTTTGGCGATTTAAGAAAGATAGCTTTATATGCGTATCAATATTATCTTGTCAATGACGCAAGTTATTTGAAATTTAAAGCCGCAAGTGGCAATCTTATTAAAGCATTTAAATCACTCAAACACCAATGACTATCATTATCACGAGCGTAAGAAGATTCACAACTTTTATGATTAAATTAATGTGTTACTTGCCGTGTAGAATATCAATTAATTTAAAATATTAATTAAATTTCTTAAAGACACAAAATTAAAAAACATCGACATCGATAGACTTGTCAAGAATAGCAATAGAATAAGAAACCTGGTAATCCGTTAGATGTATGATGAATCCGATGGAACAGGTTTCCAAGGTTTCTAGTATACGTCCAATATCTTGAATGACCACGTTCACAACCTTCATTAGCCTTCATTCATCAGGTATTTATCGGACGAATTGTTTTATGTCCAGTCCGTCCGAAGAAATTCAAAGCAATTTATCAAAAAACGATCAAAGAATCATTCGAGCCGAACACCTTCGACTGATGAACTATTTGCATAAACAATAAATTTATTTATCGATTAATTTATCGATAAAAATGAGTTCAAACTGTTCTGATTTTTACTTAACAAATTTTTAAAAAAGAGATAATCGTAATTTATATAAATATAAGAGGAAATAAAATCATGATATGCATAAGACATAAATATAATTCTAATTAATTACAGTAGATTTTTTTAAGATTATCCTTTCCTATTTTAAAAATTTCTATTAATCTAATAATATTCCATTAATTCAAGATAATAATTTTTGATTTCTCAAATAAAGATATCGAAATAGTTCGTTCACGCACGAAAAATGTCGCTTGCCGAGTGGTATTCATTGTGTAATCAAGAATATATCGCAAGCAAAAATGTTAATCGCTTCACTCCACATTTCGTCGCACTATAATTTGCACACCGTTTCAAAAATGATTTCAAACAAATCTATTCGCGCAATCTGCACACGAATTAGTCGTCCATCGTTTTTGTCGAACTTTCAGTTTAACAGGTTCGAAAGTGACATTCTCCTGCATAAGTTATGTTGAAAGATCTTAAGTGATTAGCAAAAAGAAGAAAGTATCAAATTATGACACAAGGACAAGATTAGCAAAGATTGGCAAAGTTCAATGGCAGAATCCGGACGATAACCATTTCCCATTTATCAAAGTTAGCGGTCGTTAAGTAAGATCTCTTTCATGTTTCGTTCATTTTAGATTCTAAAATAATATATTCCTAAATCATACTTTAAAGATGTAAAAAATTTGAGATTTAATGACATAGATTGTGGAGAGCGCTATTGTATTATTCTTGTTTTATCCTTGTTTTACGTCTATTGAACAATAAAGATAGAATGATACAGTAGCATTAATAGTGAGCTACAACAACGCAGGAACAATTAAATTAGATTTTCTCATAAAGAATTTTTTCTATGATATCATCTTTGTTTTTTAACAATTTGAAAATGTATACAGACGAAAGATGACATGATAAAAAATTACACGAAATGCAAAAGATTATAAGATCTATCCTTTTCAGTTAATAGTTAATTCCTCTTTCTTGGAAAAAAAAAGAAAAAAAGGGAGAGATGAATGATATAAGAAGTTCAGTTAATGAGATCAGATCGATTTCTGATGAAAAATCGGCGCTTCAAATACTGAAGTTTGCTAGGATTGATCAAACAGTCACATCTAATTTCGTATAAGTCTGACGTATTACATAATTAAGAACACTGTCGAAGTGATAGCTAGGATTAATCGATGGCTTAAGTAAAGTAGGCGTCGAAATCTGAAGGAGCGAGACACCATTTGTCTCTCTCTCGTCTTGTTCATCACCTCGTAAAGTCGTAATCAGCTTGTCAGCAAGTAAGTGGCATTCCACGACGTGGCGTTGGCGGAAGTCACAGCCGTTTTAGACGGATCTAATTCGAGACTTCAGAAATAGACGAGAGAAGGAGCGAAGAGGAATCCGAAGGGGGCGGTGTGCAAACGTTTCTAGACTCAAGGTCGCGAAGCTAAGGAACCTAGAGAAGAGGAAGTCACATCGTGTCGACCAATTGGAATAAACAGAGCGTTTTTAACAATGCTTCGATACGAGAAGAAATTTGTGGATTGGATATATCTTTTTACGTCGTAATTTGTCGATAATGCTGAAAGAACCTCTCGCTCGCTCTCCAACAGCAATTATCGAAGTTGCCAACAAATCATAAGGCAATTATGCGAGATTTACTGATCGATGCGTAAGTTATTCGAACTTCAAGACTTCCAGAAAAGTCTTAAGTCATAGCAATCGCACTCTATATTCCGACGAAAAATCGAAGTTGTGAAAAAATAAGCTGAGTTTTTTATGATCGCCTGATTAAAAGATGTCACAATAAAATGCACTTTTACATATGTTACTATATATGTTATTATAATATTGAATTCATAATGTTAAATTATATTCAATTTAAATGATTTTTCATCAGTTCAAATATACTTCACTATTTCTACTATATCGTAAAGGAGAATGTGTAAAGCAAGATGTGTTGTATTCTCAGATTTATATTAGACAATTTTTTTTGTATTGTATGATCATTATAGAAATATTAAAAATAATCATTCCATGAGAAAAAACTCAATCCATAAAACTCTAATTTGATATTAAAGCTTTAATAGGGGATTCGTATATTTCCTGAAATTTATGTACATTGTTAATAAGAGAAAAGAAAATGGGATTCTATTGTTTTGCAAGTTACTATTATTTAGCAAATGAATTCTAAATCAGTTTGTACTTGACTTTCGTACGAGGAAGATTCAAATCTTGAGTCAAAATGTTTGTAGTTAACTTCGTTGGTAAGTGTATTTCAGCATTGTTTGAAAGCTCAGACATTTTACTTATATATTATATTGATCTATTCTTGGAGCCACAAAAGTAGTTTTGTTTTTATTCAATTCTAAATTGCTTTTCAGTTTCTATTAAACACACAAGCATTATTCTTCAACAAATAGAAAACTTAATTTTGGAAAATAGTAAAACTTAAGTTTGGAAAGATATTTCTTGAAGCAGCTTTCTTTTAAAAAAAAAAAAAAAAAAAGCACTCACATTATGATCTGCCGAATTTTAACGCGATTGAAAAATTCTAGGCACAAACTAAATCGAGAAGGAGGTTATCAAGTGGATTTTTCCATGCTGAATATTTAATCAGTAGAAAGGGCAGGTAGGTCGCGTAGCGGCACATTACCTGTTGTCATGACATCAGAATTGCTTAGACGAATCCATCCGAAATCGCATAAGCATGTGCGGCACGACGTGCTAACTTCCCAGGATGTCCGACCAATACTATGGACAATATTACGACACAGTGACTTCCTGAAGCAGGCACAAGGACAAACGAAAACTTCAATTTCTCCTCAGGCAACTTGTATTAGGTATGTCAATTGATATATGCTTCTTCTTAATATTCATCGATGATTATACGGATATCTGACTTCGTAATTTCGAGAGACGTTTTTTTGCAGCTTAATAACTTCAATAATATACTAAAGTATCGCCTTCGATTTTTTGTACGCGATGGCAATACAATTTGCAATCGTTTTATAACGAACTCATTTAAATTATTAAATTATTAACAAGATAAAATTTTTTCTTATTATCATTTCTACTTCTTCGATTAATAGTACAAAAAAATTACCGCGTTTCTTGAAGTAAATAAAGACATTGGAAGATCTGCTTTTAATAATGAAAGTTTACGACAATTCGATGTATCGTCTGAAGTATACAGAGTGTCCCAAATTTAAATAGCTAAATCTCGGGAGCTTGTAGGAAATCGACAAACTAAGAAAAAAAGAATTTACATTTTGACACATATAGAAATAAAAAAAACAAAATATCGTTTAACTTAGGACCGGTTATTTTATCTTTCGATAAATTTTACG